CTTCAACTTGCCTATTCACGGTCATCTCACCATCTTCACTAAGCCATTGAAGTTTGTAAGGTCGCGGGTGTGGCTTAGTCTCCAAATTCATTTTTGAAACCAACCGTGAACTAGCCACATTAGTGCAACTCCCACCATCAATGATCAAAGAGCACAATTTCCCTTGAATGAGGCACCTTGCATGAAAAATATTTTCTCTTTGACAATCATCCAATTCAACTTATTGACTACCCAACATCCTTCTAATCATAAACAAATCTCCTTCTAACTCTCTTTCATCTTCATGCTCATTTTCATCACTAGATGAAGAATCTGAAGAAGATTCACTAATTATTTCTCCATCCTCCTTAAGTAACATAGTCTTCTTAGTAGGACATTGAGAAGCTATGTGACCTCTTCCCAAACATTTGAAGCACTTAACCTCACTACTCCTTGTTTTCTTAAGTGCCTCATCAGACTTATTTTGATTTCTATGAGTTATAACATTGGAATTGTTTGTTGATGATCCACCCTCCTTCTTATTTTTGTCCTTCCAACTAGGAGAGTGAAAATTAGATGAACTCCTCCTCATGGCACTCTTTCTCTTCAATTGTTGTTCCACCTTGGAAGCTTGATGTACTAAATCCTCCAACTCAACATAATTTTGCAGCTTCACAACATCCCTTATATCACTATTTAGCCCATGTAGGAATCGAGCCATAGTAGCCTCCCGTGCCTCCATAACATTAGCCCTAATCATGGAAACCTCCATCTCTTTGTAATATTCATCAACACCTCTACTACCTTGTATGAGTCTTTGGAGCTTGTTATGAAGATCTCTTTGATAATGAGAAGGAACAAATCTTCTTCTCATCAACCTCTTCATTTCTTCCCAACTTTCCACCAAGGGTTCTTCATATCTCACCCTTTCCCTTTGTAATTGGTTCCACCAAATGAGAGCATAATCAGTGAATTCCATGGCTGCCACCCTCATCTTTTTATCTTCTGTGTAATTATGGCATGCAAATAGTTGCTCAATTTTTATTTCCCACTCCAAATATGCTTCTGGATCACTCTTTCCTTGAAAAGAGGGTATGTTCGAGCTTTACTCCTTCAATTTTGTTATCTCTAACATCACCTTCATTATTTCTCCTTCTCCTCCTTCTACCTCCACCATCATCATCATTTCCTTGATTTTCTAGTTGTTCAATTCTCCCATACAACTCCTCAGTATGTTCTGTCAACATTCTTTGCATTTGGGTTGTAATGGCATCAATCAATAATCTATTGTCACCCCTAGAGGAGGGGTACCACCACCTGCACCTGCCATCTTTCAAGTAAAAAAGAAGAAAGGACCAAACAAATGAAGTAATAGGACCTCACCACTCTTCTCACGTGTTTGCACTCAAAGATGTACCACTCGTGTTTACTCTCAATTTGGCTTTTGTATAATATGCACTCTTGCCTTTTTCCACTCGTTCTCGACTTATGGTTCTTACAAGAATCAAACAATCTATAGTTCAAGAATCACTTTCAACTGTAGCAATCACAAGGAATAAAACAGAATTGTAGTACCAACAAAGGACAAGTAGCAAAGAACAATTTTACTACTAATAACAAGCAAGACAAATTTAAACTATGGAAAAACAAAGATTAGACAAAGACGTTTGACACTTAGGAATTTTATCAAACAGACTAATGTGCACTGAAATTTAAAGAAAGAACAAGCTGCCACATATATATATATATATATATATATATATAATTTTTTTTTCGATTCTTTTCTTCTTTTGATTCTTTTCCTTTTTTGTTTTGATTTTTTTTTATTCTTTTCTCAGAAAACTAATTTCAAACACAACTTTGATATATATATATATATATATATATATATATATATATATATATAAATGAAATTCAATATCAAAATTGCATAAACAACAAATTTTTTTGTTGAACGAGTAAACGGAATAGTGATGAACAGTACATGTGAACAGTATAATGAACAGTACGTGAACAGTGACAATGAACAGTATGTGAACATTGACAATGAACAGTACCCCGTGAACAGTAACAATGAACAGTACGTGAACAATGACAATGAACAATACCGTGAATAGTGCCGATGAACAGTGCAATGAACAACACCGCTTTTGAACCCTGCTCTGATACCAAATGACGACACTCGAATGGAAGGGAAACAATTTAGGGTTAGGTTTTAAGAATTGATTTGATTAGAAATAGAAAACAGAAAAACATAAAAGATACCGTAGGCGCCACAAATAAGAATATTTGATAAGCCAAGAAGGATCGCCACAAGAATCGAATAATTCTTGATAAGATCAAGTGATGCAAGGAAGAACCCTAGCAGAGCAACAACTCACAAAGTAATCTGAATATTACGTACGTTCATTCTGAATTCCCAAATGTTTAATACAACTTAAGTTTATAAGTTTGTCTCATTGCAGGAAATAAAGATAAATTAAAATCCTAATATCCCAAGCAAAGTTAAGTTACCCAAATGGTTCAGTGAAGGAATTATAAGCTTTGGGTCTTGGGTTCAAATCCCCACTGTAGCAAATAAAATAGTAATAATAATAAAAACTAAATCTTTTAGTTGGGTCTCCTAACTCTCCAAACATTCTATTTTAGTTGGGCCTCCTAGCTCTCCAAACATTCTATGCATGTGATAGGTCTAGCCTCCTCCATGTTTGGATCTTTTAATAGTTGGGCCTTTAGCAAATTGCTCACTTTGTATTGCAATGCCTCTTGTGCTTTTCTGAGCCTGCCTCTTGTCATAGGTCCACCTAAGTCTTGGATTGGATCTTGGTCTTGATCCTTCTCGTTATGGGCTTGGGCCTTTATGTGCACATCAAACACTGAACATAATGTCGTGCTAACCATAAGGTACAATACTGAACCAATGAGTCCTCTGTACTTGGTTTGGTCGACAAATTTTCCTTTTTCATCAACATCTAAAAAGTAGCTTGTGGACATGGGAGTGGATGCTTCTTTGTAGTTTTCCATTTCAAACTTCTTGAGTAGTTCTGCACAGTGTTTAAATTGATGTAGAAAGCTTCCCCTTTCAGTTATTTGACATGCAGTTCTAGAAAGTAGTTGAGTTCTCCCATCATTGACATCTCAAACTCTCCCTATATTTCCTTTATAAAATTCTCACATAAAGTCTCATTAGTAGCCCCAAAAATTATGTCATCAACATCAACTTGTACCAGAATTGTATCATTTTTCACTTTCTTAAGGAATAGAGTTTTATCAACTACACCTCTTTGATAGTTTTTCGAAATGAGAAAATTGTTCAACCTTTCATACCATTGCCTTGGTGCTTGCTTTAAACCATATAAAGCCTTCTTGATTTTGAACACATGTTTTGGATACGTGTAATCCTCAAATCTAGGTGGTTGAGAGACAAATACCTCCTCATTCAAATAACCATTCAAGAATGCACTCTTGACATCCATTTGGTACAACCTGAAATTCTTTATAGAAGCATAAGCTTGTAGTAGTCTAACAACTTTTAATCTAGCAATAGGTGCATATGTTTCATCAAAATCTATTTCTTCCTGTTGATTATAACCTTTAGTTACCAATCTTGCTTTGTTTCTAGCAATATTGCCATATTCATCCAATTTATTTCTAAATACCCATTTTGTTCCAACAATGTTAGCATCTATTAGTTTAGGAACTAATTCCCATACATTATTTCTAGTGAACTGATTTAGTTCCTCATGCATTGCATTTACCCAGTCATTATCACTTAAAGCTTCAATTACAGTTTTAGGTTCAATGTAAGAAACAAAAGCCATATAATTGCAAAATTTATTTAAAGATCGTCTAGCAGAAACTCCGTGATTGATTTAACTAATGATGTTATCAATTAAGACATTCCTTGGAGTCTTCCATCCTTGGGTAACTATTCTTTTGGTTCCCCTTCAGAATTTCTTGAATTTTCAAATATCCTCCGAGTATTGGCTGAATATGGTAGTTTTAAATAATAAAACATATTAGTTAAAATTTCTTCACGTGCATCACTAATTATGTTTTTCTGCACATCTAAACAAGATTCATTGAAAATAACATGCACAAATTCTTCTACAGTTTTAAGCCTTTTGTTATAAATTCCATATGCATGGCTGTTTGTAGAGTAACCCAAGAAAATTCCTTCATCCGATTTTGAATCAAACTTTCCTAGATTTTCTTTACCATTATTTAAAATAAAAATTTTGCATCCAAACACTCTAAAGTAGTTTATGCTTGGATTTTTGTATTTGTACATTTCATAGGGAGTCTTTTTGAGAAAGAGTCTTACCAAAACCCGATTTAACACATTACATGTGTGCTAACTGCATTACCCTAAAAATATTTTGGCAACGTTTTCTCATTTAACATGATCCTAGCAAGCTCCGCAAGAGACCGATTTTTTCTTTCCACAACACCATTCTGTAGAGGAGTTCTAGGTGTAGAGAAATTATGTTTGATGCCATGTTTTTCACAAAATTTGTCAAATTTTTCATTTACAAACTCTCCCCCATGATCACTTTGAATGTAACAAATAAAATACCCTTTTTCATTTTGAATTTGTTTAGCAAGTTTCTTGAAAGCAAGGAAAATATCAGATTTTATTTTTAAAAACAATGTCTAGGTAAATCTTGAAAAGTCATCTATAACAACAAATGCATATAGATTTCCACCCAAACTCACAGTTCTTAAAGGTTCAAAGAGATCCATGTGCAAAAACTCAAGCAGTCTAGAAGTAGAAACAATATTTTTCTGTGGAAAAGAACTTTTTTTTTACTTGTCCTTTTGACATGCATCACAAACTTTGTTCTTCGTGAACTTCAGTTTAGGTAATCCAGTTACAAGCTCTTTAGAGATTAATCGATTAAGATGATGCATATGAATATGAATTAGCCTTCTATGCAGTCAAATATCATTTTCTCTAGCAATTAGACAACAATTATATGTAGAGTTTGTATCTAACCTATAGATATTACCTACCCTCTTACCAGTGATCAATACCTAGAAATAGAAACTTGATCTAAATTGCAACCTGCCGATTAAATCAAAGTTATCATGAGCTTCACATAGATCTATCAATAGAACCAACATTATAAAATTTTTAACCAAGAACAAATGGGAAACTCTCGTAACAAAAAACACTCAATTTGATTAATATCTGAATTGAATTACAAAAATTTATTATTTATAGGCAAAACTAGACAACCATGAGACTTAAATTTTCACTAGCAACTTCATTAAACTTTTTACTTCTTACTAACTATCATATAATGGTGCATTATCCATCATTATGAAACTTACCTCAGTAAAATAAAAAATCATTTGAACTTATTCTCACAAAATAAAAAACAAAAATTACATTGAGGATCGGTAATAATTATTTAGCTGAATCACTAATTAAACTTCAGTACATGAATGTCTCTTGTCTGTTTTTTTTTTTTTTTTTTACGTTATATTAGAAACAAAATCTTCCTCAACTTATTAAGTTACTAGTTAGATCTTGATCATTCTCTCCATCTTTAAAATGATTCGCCCTCAAATTAATTTCATAAACTCTTAAAACAGGTTATCCTTGAGGTAATTGTTCTAAAAGAATTGTCGTAACTAAGCAACTACGAGGTAAAAAAGAATTCAAATCATTAGTGAATAAATATCCTTGTACATGAGTGCAAGAAGTTTCTCTCCTTCTAACAATGCACTCATTTTTCTTTTATTTACAAATGTACCCATTTTCTTATGTTCCTACTTCTCACCACTCTCAAATTTATTTTTTCTCTCCATTTTTTCTAATTTTCACTCCTTTTAACATTTTCTCTTTCTTGAATGCTCAATTACTTCTCTCTGAATTGACCCTCTCTACATGGAAATTGAATGACATAAGTTTCAACATAGAGATGTTAAAACAATGGTGTGATATTCATGGCAAGGCTAAATGGATTAAGATGAATATCTCCTGTCTTTTCGGTTTGAACTTCTTATATTAGACTAAAAAAAATTTCTCACTTATAAAAAATTGCTCTATCATACGTTAAGTGGGTATATCCACCGGAAAGCCATATTCAATAATACACAACCTTTTTTTAACAATATTTAAATGTGTATTTAAACACTTTAAACCTTTATTTATAAAAATAAAAATCGTTACTTTAAAATAATATTTTATAACACAATTTCTTTGTTAATATTTTCTCTCATAAAATATATATACTATTTTAAAAATCAAAATAGATTAAAAAAATCATAATATAAATCAATATGTTATTTTTAAATAATTATATTTTAATTAAATCGAGATAAAACCGAAAAAGTCAAAATAGTTTTCATATTAAAAATAATTTATAATCAATTTTTTTTAATATAATTTTTTTTATAAAAAATATAATATATTTTAATTTTTTTATATCATTAATTACATTAATTTTAAATAATAATTATTTTATTATATTTTTATCTTATTTTAATAATTATTAATTTTATTATTTTTAATATATTTTATATTTATAACTTTCATTATAATTTTTAGTAATTATGAGAGTAATATTTATTATTATTATTTTTTTTATAAAAAATATTATTACTAATAAATTCAATTAAAGCCTGATTAAATCCCAATTAAACTTTTAAATCCTTATACCACTTCCTCTAGAAAGAAATCTGTTTATTTTAAACCATTAAATTATAAATAAATAAACAACTCAGAATAAATGATTCCGTATAATTAAAAGAATTTACTCCTTTCAATAGATTAATATATAATTATAGATCTCCCATACGAAGATTTCAAATCTTGTTTCACCACTTTAGATGTGTGCAATTATTCTATAAAACTTTAATTATATTTTTTTCAGCAATTTTTAATTCTTCTATCGTCTTCATACAAACATTAGGGTATTAAAGTATTTGAAGTAAATATACATAAAAAAAAAAAAAAAATTTGCATGTGGAGAAAGTTTGAGAAAATCTTGCTTAGTGCAAGTATTAAGACAAATCCAATATAGAGAATTTTACCGGTAATTGGATCAATCAAATACAACAATTAGCACATCAAACAATGGACACAACTTCCACCATTTCTAGATAGGCTCTAAAAACTTTATCAATTGTCACTCACAAAGGCAAACAAAAACATGCCCTGGTGTTGGTGAAAGAAAATTGAATAAAGGAATTCAACCCCAAGGTATGAATCCTTAGCACAATCCGAAGGCATATTTCACTGATTACACACTTATAATACAAAGGAAAACTCAAATAATTACAGTTGAGAAAATAATATTCAAGGTTAGACATTACGTTTCTAAAGGAGTTTTGTGATCAGGTCCAGCTAGAATAATCTGCATTACAAATATACCAATAAAGACACGGGTTAAAAAAGGAATGAAATGAATGATAAATGCTTAGTATCAAATTTGACTCCTGCAAATTGTGGGATAGTACTGTTCAAGAGTCTGTTTCGACCGGATTTGGAATAAAATTAAAATCCAAACCAAATCAATTGGCTTGAGTTAAAATTTTCGGGTCGGTGGAGTCAATCCAAACCAATAAAAACCGCTTTTGCATGGTGTACTTTAGAGGGTGAAGTGTAAATTATGTGTTGACTAAAAACTTTATCAGTTTAAATTGTAATAAATTACATGCACGTGTATAACAATTCAGGTTGAAAAAGTGAAACCTACGCTTTAAAAGAGTCAAATCCGTCTTAATATAAATCAAGTGTGTGTAGATAGTTTAGGGAGACATACATTGCAATCAAATGCAAACCTCCTTGCAAGCATGATGGCTGCATTCCGTTCTCTCTCTGACTCAAAAGCTAATACAAAAGAAAGACCTTGCTTCGGTTGCCAAAAGACTGCCTGCGCTGCAGCATTCCCCCCTCCTCGAACTCCACAAAGCTAAAGAAAACAAGAAAGCGCCATATTTTAATGTACAAAATCTTGAACAAAAAACTAGAAATATTTCATACATACAAATATAGCTACAAGAACAATATTTATTACATTAATTAATTAGAAAGTAGATTTTGGTGTAATTCAACCCAATAAAATCAATTTTTAAGATAAGGTTTACATTTGGTAATATCTCTAATCAATATAGGATATCTACCATACCTCTCACATTCGAGGATTGGACATCTCGAGAACGTTACACTGAATGTTTGTGGCTGACATCTTGAGAGTATGGAATTGAATATTTGTGGGTGATCCAATAATTGCTTGATAGTGGGTGATACAATTGCTCAACAAACATTACTAAAATAGGTTTTAATACTATAATTAAAAGTGGATTTGAGTCTAACTCAATCTTCTGAAATCACCTTATAAGATAAGATTTGCATCCTTTTATATAATATATTATTTGTTTATATCTCTAATCGATGAAGATTTTTAACAATAAATATATGTATTCTTTTCTTATTACTAAGACCACACAAGTTAAAGAATGATAGAATGTGAAAAAACGATTAGTTTTCACTTGTCACCAAGAACTATATACAACTAAGCGATCACAATTTGAAATACCTGCATTGAACTGGAATAGTATTCTTTGGTAATTGTTGCCTTTCCTTTACAGAGTTTCATCCTCATCTTTCCCACATGAAGTACATGAATAGATTCAGTTGGAAGGTCTAAGCCAGTCTGAGTTACAACCACCTGCAATTTGTTAAATTAACTGTTATTATTGTCACTGAATCTGAACAAATTTTCTAAAACTTATATGGAAATGTAAACAAAGTGCAACCAAACAACCACCGTTAGTGAAAATCCACACTACTTTTAGTTGAAATTTGTTTAGGGTCAAGCATTAAACCATATATACAACCAATCAAAGAACTATTACACCTAATAGTTTAAGCAAGTGATAATTCTTAAACCAGCCTCACCTGGTCAATCATACTTTGATGCAATTTAGTGATAATTCTCAAAACAAAAAATATAGCCCACACACACATTCCAATGAACTAAACGTGACTGACATTTGAACTGTTTTCAAACACGGTTACCTTAAAGTATAGATCGAAGGATTATAGATTTTTCAACAGTAACACCATGTAAACCTAAGAGATGCTTGTTTTTCCTTATGCTATAACTAAATTTACTTCTGCAAAAGACTCTTTTGCAAGAAACGATATCGACAAAGCCAATTCAACTAGTATTATCAACTTTTAATTTTTCAAATAGCAAAATCCCCAAATAATTGTATCACATCTATGATATAGTACATAACATAAAGCGCAAGAAAAATGCAATTTCAATTGTTGGTCAAACCCTTGTTACAAACACCAGAATAGAATGGGTTGTTGTTTACTTATGTTAGGATAAGAGTACATGTTTGTTAACCGGCCTATCTATTTGGGTTATGACTTGATAATGTATCTGCAATAGATCAAGGGGAGGTATGAGGGGCTAATAACATCATTCCAAGTAAGACAACTGGAGACCACTATTCAGTTAGGGACAGTCAGCATGAGAAGAAATTCCTGCAAAGTTGTTAGATGGAGGAGAGTATTTGTGACGTGAGGGGGAAGTGACAGAGGGTGTGCTGAAATTTGTAAAATTGTTTTCTCTCTCCCTTATGGTTTTCATTCTCTGCCTTTTCATTTTCTTCTTCAGTTCTGCTGTCTATTGGGATGGCATTATAATTGTTTTCAGTACAAATAATATTATCAGAATGAGCTTTTCTCTACATCTGTTATTTCTTTGTATATGCTTTGCACTTATTTCAGGCAACCATCACAATTGGTGTTTTCATTGAGCTCCTATGACAGAAAATACACATCTGAAAGAGTTACAAGCAAAGGTCCACAAGGCGTTTGAGGCCATTAACCGTCAGACACAATCCAATTCTGCCATACAACAGTCCTTGACACAGATTATTAGTTCCTTAGATTGTTTAATGGTTGGTTTGCCAAGTGGAGCATCAAACTTATCTCGAGGGGTTGCCTCTAAGTCTCTGGTTGTTCATCCTCTTCAAATGCATCACGTTAAACTGGATTTTCCCAAGTTTCATGGCTCTGAACTGCTAGACTGGTTATTCAAGGACGAAAAATATTTTGCCAATTACAATAAGTCAAACATGGATCAACTCACTATTGTTGTCATGCATTTTGAGGGGGTTCCAATTCCTTGGTTTTAGATGATGCAATGGGCAGACCAGATTCCAACATGGATGGCGCAGGCCTCTGCCATTGAGACGTAGCTCGGACCCTCCCCTTTTGATAACCCAGTTAATGCTACTTGTTAATCACAATGAAGATATCTGATGCAGTACTTTTGGATTGTTTCCTTGGCGGATTAAACAAAACGAGTCAAGCTCCCACCACTTTTGACTAGGACGGTTTCCTTGGCCCGGTTGTTTGATGAGAAAAGTTCCTTGGGATTGATGGTGAATCATCCTAAGCCCAATACCTAATCAAGGAAACCTAGTGGTGGACATTCATCAGGTACAATTTGCTTCCCACACCAACCACCAAGTTGTTCCCTCTAGTTCAACACATGTCATCAGAAAAGCAACAAATTCGCCAAGAAAAATGATTGTCCGTCACTTGTGACGAAAAATATTCATGGAATCGCAAATGTCCCAACAAAAACTTATAGTGTTGTTTGAAGTGGATGAGGAATCACTACCAAAGGCTGATGAAGAACTGCCCATCACTGATTCCACCACTTCCACATTTCATCATTAGTTATTGCATGTTTTTCATGGGTCTCATAGTGGTGCTACCATTTATTTTCAATAGGAAAATAAAGAACTGTTTTTGAGAGCTTGAAATCATTCTCTTGTGTTCTCTTATTTATAGGAGATAAAGATACAGATTCAGAGATACAATTAATAGAGAGAAATGATTAATCCTAGAGAAGATAAACAGATGTATTCTAGGAACTAGGTCTACAACTAATCTCATAAATGTTCAACAAGATACAACTAATCTAATAAATACTTCAACACTCCCCCTTAAGCTAGAGCATACAAATTGAATGTACTAAGCTTGGAACAAATGAATTCCATTCGAGGTCCTCTCAAAGATTTTGTTAATGCATCTGCAAGCTGATCATTGGAACCAACAAACTCAGTACAAATTTCTTTAGTCAACAACTTCTCCCGAATAAAGTGACAGTCAATCTCAATATGATTAGTCCTCTCATGAAATACTTGGTTGGAAGCAATGTGGAGAGCAGCTTGATTATCACAATACATCTTCATAGATTGAATCTCACAGAAGTTCACTTCTTGCAAGAATTGTTTTACCCAAACAAGTTCACAAGTGAGAGACGCCATTGCCCTATATTCAGCTTTAGCAGAGGATCAGGCAACAACGTTTTGCTTTTTGCTTTTCCATGAAATGATATTACCTCCAAAGAAAACACAATAGTCTGTAGTGGAACGCCTATCCATAGGAGATCCAGCCCAGTCAACATCACAGTACCCAAAAATTTGGGTATTTCCCTTATTTTCATATAGCAAACCTTGTCCTGGAGCTTTTTTAATGTATCTTGGGATTCGAATGATAGTGTTAGATATGATTAGATATTAGTTGATATTGTTTGATATTGTTGAGATATTGTTAGATATTGTTAATCACAATATCAAATAATATCTTTTTATTTACCCTATTTGTATTCTGTTACTCTTTTGAGAAGTACCTTTCTTTATTATAAATACACTGCCCTATGTGTGGTAAATACATAAGGGAAATTAATCCTATACAGTTTTTCCCTATATTCAACATGGTATCAAGAGCATAAGGTCTCTTGGGATTTTTTTTCGGCTCTGCCACTGAACCTGCAGCTGTCGCCGCCTCCATCGCCGCCGCCGTCGCCACCGCCGTCCGCCGTCGCCAGAGTAGCAGTTCGGACCGCCGAGCACAGGGTTTTGCTCGCCTCCTCCGTGCGACCTCCACCGTGGAAGTTTCGCGGTCATCGGAGCAGCCACGCTCCCTCACGCGCCTCCCGAAGCCGCGCCACCTTCTCCTCGTTCCGCCGCGCGTGGCGGCGCGTCTCGCCGCCGTTCGAGCCGCCGATCTTTGCGCCGGCGTCGCCTCCTTCTCCTCTCTCCGGATCTGTCCTCGCTGCTCCAATCGGACCTCTTTGGTGTTTTAGGGTTTTTCTCTCTCTTCCTCCATGGCATCTTCCGCCGCTACTTCCAATTCGAAGCTACCTCCGTCGACTCCGTGGGTCTCGAGCAATCTGTTTTTACTAATTATGTCAATGTGAATTTACCCATTGATAAATTAGATGGTACGAATTATGCAACTTGGGCATCCGATATTAGACTTTGGCTTGAGAGTCGTGGGTATGTTGATCATCTTACTACCAAGGTAGATGATGTTCCTTCCAATGATCGTGTCCGTTGGAAGAAAGTTGATGCTCATATATGTATGGTTCTCAAGAATACCATCCAATCTTCTTTAAAACAAATTTTTCGATCGTATGGCACATGTTATGACGTTTGGGAACAAGCCAAATTATTATACACCAATGACACTCAACGTCTTTATGGTGTTTGTTACAATCTTCTTGATGTTATTGCTCCTCGAGATAAGGATCCTGTGGCGGATTATGTGGGTAAGATCCATGCTCTTCTCCATGAATTTAATGAGTTATTACCCCCGCCTCGACTCCGCCCAAGAATTAGAGCAACGATCAAAGTTTTTCATGGTTTTGATGTTACACGGACTTGCCGATAAATATGCCCCCGTTCGTGACCGCATTTTGGGTTCCCCTATTACACCCAGCTTTACCGCTACCAGTTCCTCCCTTTTGCGGGTGCCATGTAAACCTCTCAATATTCCCCCTGTAGTTTCTAATGATTCATCTCGCCTTGGCCTCTCACCGTGATGATCGTAATCGCTCTCACAAGCCAGGCAAAGGGCATGTCAAGTGTGACCATTGTGGCAAACTAGGCCACAAAATTGACAAATGTTATGCTTTACATGGTTATCCTCGCCGATCTCGCTGCAGCTTGCTCGGGACCGATTCTTCCGCACAATCCTCTGCTGTGGATCCTCCTTCGTCTGTACCTTCGGACAAATCTGCTATCTTCAATGATTTTCTTCAATGGTATGAGGATCGAAAGCCCTCCAGCTCCACTACTTCGTTGCCCACACGAGTACATCTTTTGTTGGTCCGACTCACTCTTCTTCTATTGGCCCTTGGGTTCTTGACTCAGGCGCCACCGATCACATCACTCGGTAACAAATCCTTATTTTCCTCTTTCACTTCTTCTCATAATTTACCCTCTCGTTACAATGGCTAATGGGTCTACAACTTTAGCTCATGGTGTTGGAACGGTTACTCTTTTTCCCTCGTTGTCCATTGATAATGTTTTGTATGTACCGTGTCCCCCTTTAACTTATTATCCATTAGCCGTCTAACTCGATCTCTTGATTGTGTTATCTCTTTTACCAAAACTTCGTTTCCCTACAGGACCGGAGCTCGCAAAGAGTGATTGGCACCGGATGTGAGTCACATGGACTTTATTATCTTCAACCTTCTCCACATGTTGGCACAGCTTATGGAGTCTCCTTCTCTCCTTCATGCTCAGCTTGGTCACCCTGAGCCTGCGCAAATTACAGTAACTTGTTCCCAGCCTTATCCCAGCTTGTCCAATTTGGTGTGTGAGTCCCGTCGGTTAGGCAAACATAGTCGTACTTCCTTTTCTCGTAGTGTTTCCCAGCGTGCTTCATCCCCCTTTGCCTTAGTTCACTCGACATTTGGGGACCCAGTCGTGTTAAGTCTAATTTAGGTTTTCAATATTTTGTTACTTTTATTGATGATTTCTCTCGTTGTACTTGGTTATTTTTAATGAAAAATCGTTCGAGTTGTTTTCTATATTCCAAAACTTTTATCATGAAATTAAAAATCAATTTGGTGTCTCTATTCAAACTTTTCGAAGTGATAATGGCCGTGAATATCTTTCAAACTCGTTTAAACAATTTATGGCTTCTTATGGCATTCTTCATCAAACTTCCTGTGCTTATACCCCTCAACAAAATGGGGTGGTCGAGCGCAAGAATAGACACCTTATTGAAACAACCCGTACTCTTTTAATTCATGGTGAGGTTCCTCAACATTTTTGGGGTGATGTCTGTTCTTACTGCTCGTTATCTTATTAATCGTATGCCCTCTTCGGTTTTAGATAACAAAATTCCCCATTCTATTTTATTTCCTCATGACACTCTCCATCCTTTACCTCTCGAAGGTTTTTGGGTCTACCTGTTTTGTCCACAATTTTGATCCTGGTCATGATAAGTTATCTCCTCGATCACACAAATGTGTTTTCTTAGGATTTACTCGATCCCAAAAAGGATACAAGTGTTTTTCTCCTTCTCTTAATCGCTATTTTGTGTCTCGCCGATGTCACCTTCAATGAGTTTTCCTTTTACTTTAAGGACCCTTCCCTACCTACCGAGTCTCCATCTCGCTACAGTTCTCATTCCCTGTTCTCATTGATCCTTATGTTGAGGACCATCCACCATTAGCCCCTCCTCCTCCACCACCCCTTCAGGTTTATAGTCGCAGACCTCGCCCACAACAGACGCCACATGACTCACTCCCAGTGCCAAATACTCGCCTCCTCCGGTTCCGTCCACGTAGTCCGACCTTCCTATTGCCCTTCGTAAAGGTACGCGTTCTACTCGTAATCCTTCTCCACATTATACTCGCTTTAAGTTATCATCGAATTTCTTCACCATTTTATACCTGTCTCTCGTCTATTTCTTCTGTGTCTATTCCTAAATCTGCCTCTCGAAGCCTTAGCCCACCCTGGTTGGCGTCAGGCCATGCTAGATGAACTCGGTGCTCTTCGGACTAGTGGAACCCGGACGCTTGTCCCATTACCATCCGGAAAATCTGTTGTTGGTTGCAGGTGGGTCTTCGCTATCAAGGTTGGTCCCGATGGTACTATTGATCGCCTCAAAGCTCGCCTTGTAGCCAAAGGCTATACCCAAATTTTTGGGTTGGATTATGGTGATACTTTCTCTCCAGATGGCAAAGATGGCTTCGTTCGTTTATTCATTGCCATGGCTGCTATTCAACAATGGCCTCTTTATCAACTCGGATGTCAAAAATGCTTTCTTGAATGGCGATTTGCAAGAAGAGATTTATATGGAGCAACCTCCCGGATTTGTTGCTCGGGGGAGTCTTCTGGATTGGTATGTCGTCTTCGCAAATCTTTATATGGCCTAAAACAGTCTCCTAGGGCCTGGTTTGGAAAATTTAGCAGCGTTGTTCAACAATTTGGCATGACTAGAAGTGAGGCGGACCACTCGATCTTTTGCCGTCACTCGAATCGTCGGATGTATCTATTTGATAGTGTATGTCGATGACATTGT